CAATTAGTTGCTTTTTCAACTAGTATCGAAGCATTCTTCAAACGCAGCCTGAATATTATTAAAAATTTGCAATTAAAAAAGCAAATTATAATCAAATAATATTAATTTTTAAAAAAAAAAAAAAAGAACTTATAATAAAAATATATTTATTGAGTTTAACTTCGAATCAATTATAAAAGAATTTGAATCGAATTTTCATTTAACTACCATTTAAAATTAATTCAATTGAAATTTGATTTCAATTTAATTTATAAAAACAATTAGAACAACAGAATTAAAAATTTAATTAAATTAAATTTGTATAATTATTTGACTAATTAATTAAGTCTATGTTAAACTACCTCTAAAAAGAAATTAAAATAGAAAAAGGAAAAATATTAATGCAATCAATTTAATAATTAAAGATTGGTTATAGAAATTAAAAGCAACAAATCTAATGTCAAAAATAAATACATATATACAAATATAATTTAAATCTAAAACGATTTTAAACAATTAAGTATATTTACTTCATACAATCATTAAATGAAAATTTTAATTTCAATTTATTATAATATATTTTGGTAAATTAGCTTAAAACAGAGTATGCAGTTTTTTGCAAGCAGTAGCAACGTTAAGCCTAATATTCACCAAGTGAACATTTTGCTCACAAGCGAAGACTAAACACTGTGTCTTAATTCGTAAACAAAATGTTCGCTTGATGGATAACAAAATTTTGGACTCTACAAATGAAAATCCAAACTGACATCACTCAATGCATATGAAAGATAAAATTTAAACCGTCGACTGATATATTGTTAAAAAAAAATTCATACAACAATATAACATATTATATAGAGAGAAAAATATATTATTTCTACATACATCTAAATATATATATAATTTTATTTATGTATTTATATATATATGTTTAAATATATTTATAAATTTAAAAATATTTTTAATTTTAGGCTTACAATATAAATTCCATTAATTCTGTAAATATTTGTAAACTAAAAACTATACATATATATATATCAATTTATTTATTAATTATACCAAATTGGCAATTCTGATTATTTATTTAATTTTAAAATTAGAAAAAAGCAACAATAATAAATCAAAAAATGCAATTAGTTATATTTTATTAATAATAATTGTTTTAAGTATAAATTCAAATTCTAATTCAAATATTCTAAATGAAAAAAATATAAACAAAAACATGGAAAACAATCGTTTTGTTGTCATTTAGAAAATAAAGTCTTCATCATATTTGTATTAGTCCGAAACATTAAATTATATATAAAACATACATATATTTAAGAAAATATATTATATATTTATTTAAAATGAAATATATTAAAATTAATAAAAATTAAGTTGTCAATTTTTAATTTATGCAAATAAATCACCTTCAAAAATTAAAAAATATTATTATTAAATTTGATTCATTAAATGTGATTTTTTCAAAAAAAAAAAAAAACAAATGATATGAATAAATTAATTAATTATTAAAAACCCAAAGTATTTAACATTTTAATTATTAATTAAAGTTAAAAATACATTAGCAAAATTTTTTTCTTTCAACTCTTATTAGAAAAAAGTCAAATACATATAAATGTTGTTGTCAAAAATTTAAATTAAAAAAAATATTTATATACATATATACATAATTATGTATATTAATATATATGCATATATATATATATATACATATACATACTTATATGTTTATATATCTATTAAACTATACTTGAACTAAGTTAGATTATAAATTAATAAATAAACTCATCAAAAAGAGTTGAAAGTTGCTTTCAATTCAAGCTGAAATAAAAACAAAAATTATACTAAAAAATTAAAAAAATATGTTTTTATTTATTACGATTAAAATTTAAATCCTACAATGAATATTTAAATTCATAAAATACGATTTTAAAAAATGTCGAATACTTTTTCTTCGGTCTATAGGGAATATTTCTTAAATATTTAGCAATTGATAAAAAATTATCGTATTATTGGAGAATGGGTTAGTAAAACTTTTCTTGAAATCATTATCTAAATCTAAAATTCTTTAAAACACAGCGAATACTTTTTGTCCTGTCTATACAGGAAGTATAGCTCACACATGAGATATACTGCGACATTGACATAGTTAAGCGCATAAAAATTCAGCGACTTTGCTGGCTTCGTCATGTCGTGCGAATGAAAGAAAGTGCTCCGGCTAGAAACGTGTTTAATTCGGTAAATGTAGATGGAAAACGCGTTAGAGGACGTCCGCATCTTTGGTAAAAGCACCAGGTGACCAACGATTTGGGAGCGCTCGGTACTATAAACAATTGTAGGTTACCGGTTTATGAACTATTATAAACATCACACTTTTAACTAGAATTTTTGATAAATTTCAAGTGGATAGAGTTTGAATATTAATATAATTAGTTGACTATATTATATTGTCCAACCCATACATATAAAATTTTCAATTTTTATATATCTTTATATCTAACGAAAATGTAACTAATTAGTTAATAAATAATTTAAAAATAATATAATAAAATAGATACTTTTTATATTAAAATTATTCTTTATTCTCAATTAAATAAAAATTATATTATTTTAATAATATATAAATAATAATTATATAAAAATGTTATGTCGACATTCTGAGCCATTTTGTAAATCATTTTCATTACAATTGAATTACAAAGCTTTATAAGAGCATCCTTTTTCAAGGAAGCAATAAAATAGAATATATATATGTATATAATATTAAATCACATATACATATAACGTATAAGCTAGCACATAGATTTCGATGAAATTCAATTCAATACTTTAGTAGAAATTTGCATTTTTTGCTCTTCCAGCTTAATATCCATCATCTTTACATCTTTAGCATGAGAGTATCGTAGCTCCTTCCTGTACATTGTCGCTAAATCCTACTCTTATTCTAACAATGAAAATCGAATTTTTTTGATTCATACTTGTATCATCCAGGACTCCGAAGCAATAATTTTTTTTTCTTATATCAATATATCAACGAACATATGGTGTATATCTTGACTCCTTTGATTCTACATGGAGTGTTTAGCATAAACAATTCCATCCATAAATCTTATAGGAATAAGATAGATAACAATTTTAACAATTGTGTCATATAAGGAAAAAAAGTTCCACTAATTTATATCTCAATGACATCACTTTTCATATTTGCTGACCTGCGAATATATATAAAAAAAATATAATGAGTACTTCATAAAAAAAATTTTTTGATGTCAATATATAACATATATTAAAATTCATATAAAGGAATCCTGCCAAAGTGCAACATTCCTACATTTTCTCAATTAATTTTAAATTAATCATAACTGTTGGATTAGAAGTGTAGATCTAATGAATACCAAAATTGTACGAAAAAATATTAAAATTTATATAATATATTGAGATTTTAGTTTAATTTGTTTTTGGATCCATCTCCATAATGTAAAGAAGTCTTTTGCCTTAGTACGGGTGGGATTCAATGTCTTTATTATCATTCCTACATACAATTTTCCATTTCTACTACGTTATTCCACTCCACTCCAAATTCTATCATTCATGGTAGGTTAGAGTGTGCTTTCTACTTGATGGGCCCATCCAACTGGAGAGTTCTTATGATAAAAACAATAGTGATCACAAGAAATTAGTACTATTAATAGCAGATCTTAAGTCGATATATTAACGTCTATATATTATTGAGTAATCTATATATTATTAAGTAATTTATGTAATTTATGTAATATAAGTATTCAATGTATTTTTGAGTAATCTATGTATTATGGATTAAAATATGTGTTATTGAGTAATCTATGTTTAAATGAGTAATATATGTATTATTAGGTTGTGCTAGGTTGGTGGCAACCTTGTACCCAAGAAAACCTACTTGAGCAAAAATATTGGCCCGTTACGTCTAAATGTCAGTATACGAGCAATCGCCGAAAAAGACAATGGGGGAGTCTCATTAAGTAATGATAAACCAACCTAACAGTTCTATAAACTTGTCTAAGTCCCTTAAGTAATTAATGACTCTAATTGTATTAATAAATAATCTATGTATTAATAAATAATCTATGTATTATTAAGTAAACTGTGCATTATTATATTCTATCATTAACGAAATTTGATTTTACTACAAAGGGCGTCTCTTTAAAACCGGGAATCACTCATCTAATATATTATTGCTGCACAGGACTATATGTATATATACGCCCATATTTTCCCCATCGGGTAATTACATTTAGAGAGCGGTTGTTATTCCATAGGCCCTCTTTCTATTATGAAATATCACTTTAAAAATAAATACACAAAAAAATGAAATAAAATAAAATATGAATTAAAAATATTATTAAAACCAATTTTTTTTACGTGCATATAGTATTCCCCTCTTAACTACACCCATGACTATTTTTTAAATAAAAAAAAAAAAAACAAATTAAGGCAGTCGTAGTTCCTTTGACAACCAAATAAAGTTTTTGGTTGTTAATTTAGCTGAAATAAACAATGTCCCTAGTACTTTAGTTATGAGTATAATTATGAGATCTGAAGACACTTGATTATATTTGTCAAAAAAAAACCAAAAAAAAGTGTTAAAAAATGAATCCTTGTTTGCAAACGGAAATACTGTAAGGCTATAAATATTATTAAATAATATAAATAAATATTTTACATTTCTGACACAGTAAGGAACAAGTGCAACTAGAAAATAGAGCACGACGTAATTATCCAAAAAAGTGGGGCGAACTGAATGCAACTAAGTTCTATAAAGTTTGTAATCAGAATGAGATGAATAATGAAATAAAAAATACTATTAAAGGTAATTATTGGAAACATTATAAAACAATTGGGATCTAATACCACTATTTCTTCTTATTGAACTCAGTTCAATGTCCTTACGAGTACAAAGGCGAGGGTGATTCATATTTCGTATCTAAGGATATGTACAATTCATTGATTGCTAAATGCCGTTGTGGACGTCCTCGTACTGGGGTACACGTTGTTAAATGTTTACAAAAAGCTATAAATGGGCAACAAAATTTAGATGATAACAAACAGCAAAATACTGAGACAAAAACCGGAGCTATTGATGGCAGTAATTTGAAAGTACCGCCTACTTCAAATGGTATTTAAGATATGAACATTTTTTTTTGAGTGCTTTCTACTTTTTTCTTGTTTTATTAGCTGCCATAGGTTGGTCAAATGGTCAAGAAATGCGTTATAAAAAATGGGAACAATCAATGAAATATATATCACCTGTTTTTACTATGGAAGGTCCACGAATTACTGCTACTCCTTATAATGTTCTTATAATTGGTTAAGATTCTAATCCAAACTTTTCAGATAATCACAATAAAAAAAATGTTAAAAAAAATACAAAAGGTACAGTTCTTCGATAGTAAAAATAAAATATAAACTATATTTATATAACTTTGATGTTATTTTTTTTCATTTTCATAAATATATAAGTTTGTCAAGATATTTACTATACAGAGAAGAGGACAACAGAGACACTAAATTGTCTTATTATTCATTAACAGTCCGACGAAAGTAATCCAACTAACTAAACTTCAAAAGAGTCAATAACATTCACAAATTGATGACTATATATATTATATATATTATATTCGTTAGAATGGAGAAAAACTATCAATAGCCCCAGAAACAATGATAAGCGAGCTTTTCGAAATTGTCACTCGACTATTGATAATTACTAGACTTTGAATAAAAAAAAAAGCAAAAAAATGTAATTAAAGTTGCGTATAAATAATAAAAGAAATGCCAGACTCTAAGTTTCTTAACAGTACTATATGTTATGCCACCAAAGTTTTTTAAATTTTATTTCTTGCTTATGAGATTCTTAAACTTCTAAAATATGTCCTGAGGCTGAGCTATGCACACGTCATATTTCGCCGTCTATGATTCTTTCTAGAGATATCAGTATAAATGAGTATTTCATTTGTAGATCTATCTTTATGGTGTTGACAGTTCGGTTATTAGTATGAAAGAATTTCTCCATTTACAACAGATTTATATCTCACGTAGTTCATTTGTTCAAATTTCTAAAAATATTCAAATTAAACGCATTTTATGCAACTATGAGACGAGCAAATTTTAAATAATCAGCGAACAAATATTGGTCGGAGCTTAAGTACTGCTAACCAGAGTCGTAACGTTTAACAATAGTAGTTGTGATATCAAATATTTTATAATAAACCCAAAAAACTCACCGCGTTCGTTTGTATTTATGCTGTCCCATCCACATTGAAAAAATGTTTCTGTATAGCCTATTAGCAGCTCTACCAGACTTTTAGACCCGCCATTTCAGAATATTTAACGGAAGTGTCTGATGGTCATAAAAGCTTATAGCAGTCTGATAATCATTACTGTAACAATTGAAAGAAAACATTATTTATATAATTATTTAGTAAGCATTATCTGAATTTACCTTTTCTGGCTGTATAAATTGGAAGATTTAAGTTCGGAGCCAGCATACAAAATTACAATAAGACCATGGTTTTGGCTTAAAAACCATATTTGTCCCTTCATTGTAATGGCGTTGTTGCAACCTGGAAGGCGCATCATTACCGGTTAATTCGATACGCCCATGTCATCATTACATTTGCCTATGAAGTCAATTAACTCCGCTAGTGTGATGAGAGCATTAATTTTGCAGACATATTCTTGAACGAAAGTAGTATGTGTTCATGGAGATGACATGTACTCATGCTTACTTCTGATGAAAAAGAGGAAACCAGAGAATGAAGAGCAGATGTTTTCCATTCGATTTTCATTCAAAAATTAGAAACATCTTACGATATTTCCATTGGAATTATATAAAAGTCGGATTAGGATCGCTCCTGATCCTTTTTATAGACCTTTATATTAATAGATGAGAAACCGTAATTTATAACACCACCAGATCGTGCCAAGGGAACCAATGATGCTTTGTCAAGCACAAGATTGACCCATCTATAACGTCCTTTTGGTTCCTCCACCTTAGTGATCCTCCAAGTGTGGGCACCAATTCCCCAATTACCCAACTGAATTAAGTTTAGTATCTTTCTAGGGTCGGACGGCTCGGCCGGTACCCAGGTATGCGCTCTTGGTCGGCAAGGAATTTGATCCTTATCAACAACTCTGAGTTTTGCGCCTGGCCAGACCTCACCCAATCTGGAGATGGCAATGCGATAAATATCAACAGAACGTTGATCCGCACAATCGATTAGTTTCACATAACCCTGGAACCATCCACCATCACGAAAGGAGGGAGTTTTACCTGGATACTCCTTCATTAAATCAAGGTATAAATCCATAAGTTTTTTGTTTATTAAACTCCAGTTTTCATGTGTGATTTTGCCATCAGGGTCACTATCATCGATGACTGCAATAGTTATCTGGCTCTTCACTATATCACTCAAGGGCTCATTTTGAATGGGATTACTACATTTTGCCTTCTTAGCTTCAGAATTTGAGTTTGGCTGATCTAATAAAGGCCTATTTTGAGTAGAATTACCAGAAAATTGTACATTTTTAACTTCGGGCGTTGAAACTGACTCGACTATTGAGCGCTTAGTTCCAGATTCCCGTTTATCAGTGCTAGGAGCTGTTTCCAGCACCTTTCTAGCCCAATCAAGGCTGCATTTATTTGCTTCAGACAGTTGATTATACGGCGTATTATTGAATCTCTCGACCAGTCTGTTAGCTGCACGACGGTCATTATAAATTTTCCGTGAATTAGCACCCGACCGTCTGGACCTGACGCGTGACTCCCTTTCATTTCTATTTGAATACGCTGTAGGTATCTTACTGGAATAGGATGCTTGATTATCCGAAGTAACAGAATTTAGATATGCCGAACGACCAGCTGTATTATTAATTATTTTATTATATTTTACATTATTTGAATTCATGCTTAATCCCACGAGTTGCGGAGAAAAATAAGTCGATCCGGGCAGAGATCCGCCATACCTGGACAAGGCTATGTTACAATCGGAGGGCGCCAGTTATCCGAAGGTCTCCGTTCGAAGACACACTAACGTAGTGCCATTCATCTCAAGGGCACGGGTCGAATAACACCGGAGATTACGGGTTTTATCGAGTTTTCCTCTCTAGATCCATGGTGTTCAGTTAAAGTCGACAAGCGCCGACTTGACAGGATCACCTCGGGAAGGATGTACTTCTTCAGCACGCACCATGGTCTTGATATGGCAGAGGCTGTGGTACAGAAATACTATATTACGCTTAACCATACCCTGTTCATTAAGAACTCGAACCCCACATTATACGACTTACAAAATTTTGCAAAAAAAAATTTAACGGAAGTCTTGAGTGTGAATCAGATACATACATACATATTGTTGATGCGTTATTACTTGCATATAAATTCCTGAAAAAATAAACAAATATAAATAATTTAGAATTATTTTTTTACTTAGTAGTGTTTTTTAAACAAACATGTTTAATTTAAAACATATTATTACGTTAAGATGTCTGTAAAAGTATCTTAATGATCTACGAATATAATAATTGAATGTTCTTAACTGCTTTAAGATGAATGTTAACTACACAGAAACTGAATTCATAATTATATTATAAAATTTTTAAAATTTGAAAGCAAAACAACTTACACAACAAATATTTTTTTAAGATAATTCCATTATTTTATTTTATGAGTACAAAATAAATATATTTCAAATGAATGAACGCAAAAGTATTTATTGTTCGCACCTGTCATTGGACATAAGGTCCATACCCACATGTGTTTTCGATTGTAGCATCTCGGAAATGTAGTCTTTTAATCACGGTACTGTTAGTATTTGCAAAATAATACTGTCTCACAAAAACAGTGTAGGGAGTCAGTATGTCACTAGCTAACAAAAAATTGGTATTATTGGTACGAATCTAGGTTTGCAGTGGATTGGGATATATCTAAAATGTAACAATAGAACCACTCCTTCAAAACACATTAAATATGTGTGCGATCGAATGGAAATGGAAATAATAACGAATGGAAATACTAATAGAATTCATATGTATTTATGTCCACATTGAAAGAAAGTAACATAAATCGATAAATGGACGAAGTTAATTGATCATATACTGTAAGGATCCATACAAAATAATGATAACCTCATAATAATAAGATTATTAGGTTATATTAATAAATGTTAGAAAAATAATTTTTAACTTATTTTATATGACTTACAAAATTATATATGTGAAAGTTGTTAGAGGTTCAGCAAACATTTGATAACAAAAATAATATACATATTTTAATAATTTTAAAGAATTTATAAAACATATACAATTTGATGCTATACAACAGTGTCTCTCAACAGCAACAATACCAGTGTGAATTTTATGGTAAGAACAACAACAGAAAGCTATAATAATAATAATAATAAAGACTCTCTTACTAGTACTATTTCGTTTTGGAATATTTTATTATTAACACGAAATTTTATTTTGGAGATTCTGTATGCGTTCCTCTAAAACTGAATTAGTCATCATGTTTATTTAATTAAATTTAATACTTAGATTAGTTGTGTTTTTTTTTAAATGTGTGGTTTTGTTTTTGCACACATTTATAAAAATTAACAAACTAACAAAAAAAAACAATTATATTTTAATTTTGACTATTTACTAAATATACAAATAATCAGCTAACCATAAAAGCGACTTCAATTATTTTTCCAACATTAAATACATTTCTAAGTATTAGATTCTTTTTAGAATAAAATCATAAGAATAAGTACTACACTCTACCATCAGTACTCGAATTTATAAATAACTTGTGTTAAATAATTTATAAAGAAGTGCCTAAATAGGTTTTTTCGAACAGTAGTGAACTATAACAAAAAATTTTTTTTATATTATTTTAATTAATTGAATCTTTGGATGACCATACAGCTGTTTCGAGTATTGCCAAATACCCATCATCATACCCGTCTTGGAAATAATTCTTG